AACCAGAAGTGGCACAAGCATTGTGCTTATTGACTGGATCCTACCTCTAGTTTTTCTGTTGTGCTTTTGGATCCTCTCAGTTTGTGGTCAAAATAATGCAACCCCAACCCCAGTCCTGCCTCTTTTCTTTTTTGCAGCTCTATCGGCAGTGTCCAGCTGATTTGTCTAATTTCTCTTGGATTTATGACCTTAACTTCTCTCAGTTCCACTTGCTAATGTTGATGCTTTCCTATTCCCTAATCAGACCCTCCCTTTTAAGAGCCCCTTCTGATCAAGATTGCCCACTCAATGTTTTCCTCTCCTAGACGTCTTTCTAAAGTGTTACATTTACTATAAAAATGACCCCATTTATGAAGTTTCCTTGTCTGTCCTTCTTATTTCCCTCCTTTCTTCTCGTGCTTGAGTTATTTTGCTACTGCAATACAAGGCTAATAGAAAAATGATGCCCCCTTTTATCATAATTCCTAATAGTAAGCTACATGAAATATTATCTGCCCAACCTCTTTTTCTAGAGTAGTGATTCTTAACCTTGGCTGAGTGTTGGAATCTCCTGGGTGGTTTAAAAAACATTGATGCTTGGGGCCCACCCCCAGAGATTATGATGTAATTAGTCTGGGGTGCAGCCTTGGCAGGGGAGTTAAAAAACCTTTTCAGGTGATTCTAATGTGCAGCCAAAGTTGGGAAGCATGGAGGGTAATAGCTTTTCAACCAGACCTTTTGTTTTTGTCACTCCTTGGCATTTATGATGATAAATTACAATTTTACACTTCGTTTAAGTTCTTATTCCACTTTGGTCCATTTTCACTCCACTTCATTCTCTCCTTCCCTCCTTCTGTGCATTTGAGAAGGCTGATTCTCATAGGCTGTCGTTTTCAGGCTCCTGTCCGCTGGTTTTCAATGGTCTGCAGCTAGTGGGAGGCCTTTCCGGGGATCCTGGAGTACTATGGAGTGAATATTTGTGTCCCTTCAAAATTCATATATTGAAGTCCTAATTCACAATGTGATAGTATTTTAAGGTGGGGCTTTGGGAGATAATTAGGTCATAAGAGTGGAGCCTTCATAAATGGGATTAGTGCCGTTATAAGAAGAGGCAGGAGAGAGACGAGCTTTCTTCCTGCTAGGTGAGGATACAGCAGGAAGGCATCTGTTTGGAAGCCAGGAAGAGGGCTCTCACTAGCAACCAAATGGACCCACACCATAATCTTAGACTTCCCAGTCTGCAGAATTGTCGTGTAAGCCACACAGTCTATGGTATTTTTGTTATAGTGGCTTGCACTGACACGGAGGGTGGGAGAAAGGGAGAAGGCAGGGTGTTTCTCCCCCTCTCTTTTGGCCTGTGTGGTGCCTCCAGCTGTGTCCCCTCTGTGTCTCTAGCTCCTGTCAGACAGTGAGACAGACTCACTGTGCTTTCAATTTCCTAGGTATGACCTGGCCCATAGATTTTGTTAATATAGCCTCTTCCCTTTGACCCTCCAGCCAAGGAGTGTTAGTATACTGTTTTATACTGTTAGTAAATTCTGGGCTATATCATCATCCCATTTGGCATCTCAGTTTACTCAGTACCTGTGCAACCAATCGCCAGTAGAATTGTCTCTGTGTTAAATACTTTTGTTACAGGCTCTTAACATCAGCCCTGATATCAGTTCCCCACATTGAACCCAGCGTATACGGGGTTAAAACTAAAACCCACCACCCCCTTTCCTGCTTCTCTAGCTCCACACATATGTAAATACCTGTTTCTTTAAACTTGGACTCTTTGAGCTTTACAACTAAATGGGAGTTACAAATTGTTAAAAGCCCAGGTGGCCTGGAGTTGGAGGCACACTAAAGTTTAGCTAATCCTGTGTCCTTGAGTTTGCCAGGAAAGACGCTGTCTCAAGAGTATCAAGGAGCGGAGGCTTCCCAGACCTCAACTCCTCGACTCCCAGCACTCAAACCTGCCTCAAACAAGAAGATGAGACAACGGCGAAGGATGCCCACCTGCCATCCTCCTATCTCACCCTCCCCCCGCCTTGCTGCAAGCAGCCTCTCAAGGCCAAACGCAGGCTGGAGGGAAAGCACCGAGCTGCACAAGCTACATGTTCCCCCCTCCCCTACCCGAAACCCCAAATAAAAATCCCTACCCATTCCTCATCGGGGAGCTAGCAATTTTTGAGGCATGAGCCCTTGCTTTGCTCCCTGTGCCTGGCATAGTAAAAACCTTTCCTCTTCCACTCAAGACTCTGTTCTCGTGATTTGGATTGGCATCGGGTTCAGAGACCGAACTTTCGGTTACACTTTGAACTGTTAGCTTCCATGGTAGAGTCCTGCTTGATACAGTTCTCAACATGGTGTCTAGTTTCCCAGATGCAAAATCCCTCATGCGCATTCTGCCAGAACCCACTCTGATTGACCCTCAGAGGGCAGGAGTGGGTGGTGTGCTAGGATGTGTGGCCTACATACCATCTTAAGGAGGCAGGTCTATGTCACTTTGTGAGATATATATATCACACGTTGACCCAAGATCTGTTGTTCCGAGTTACTACTTTAACAGTGGAAATATAAGAGGACTTCCCTTTCCAGCAAAAAACAACTACACATCACTAATATCAGGTGCAGAAGCAAAATGCTATATGCCCCACCCAGACCTTGGAAGGAGTTCTCCAAACCCTTGTTATCCCAGTGTGATTTGTGAACCAGGAGCATGAGTGTTACCCAGGAACTTTAGAAAATCAGAATTCCAGGCCCCACCGCAAGCTTTCATTTATGTAATTCACATACCATCAAACTCATCCTTTTAAAGTGTACAATTCGGCAGGTTTTTTAGTGTGTTCATGACATTGTGCAACTATCAACACTTCTAGTTCCAGAGATCTTCATTATTCCAAAAAGAAATCCTGGGCCCATTAGCAGTCACTTCTCGTTTTCTCCTCCTCTATCCCCTAGACAACCACTAATTTGTTGTCCCCATGAATTTGCCTATTCCGGACATTTCATATAAATGGAATCCTGTAATATTTGGCTTTTGTGTCTGGCTTTTCTCACTTAAAATAATGTTTTTAAAGTTTAGCCCTATTATAGTATGTGTCGGTACTTTATTCCTTTTTATAACTGAATCATATTTTATTTTATAGATAAACCACATTTTGTTTGTCCATTTACCAGTTGGTGACTGTTTGGGTTGTTTCCATCTTTTGGCTACTATGAACACTCATGTAGAACACTTGTGAAGAAGCTTCTGTGTAAATATGTTTTCAGTTTTCTTGGATACATACCTATGAGTGGAATTGCTAGGTCATATGGCAGTTTAAGTTTTTGAGAAACTGCTAAACTTATTTTCAAGGCAGCTGCCCCATTTCATATTCCTATCAGCAATGTATAACAGGCCAATTTCTCCATATCCTCACCCACACTTCTTTCTGTCCATGTTTTGATTATAGCCATCCCAGTGGGTATGAAGTGGTATTTCATTGTGATTTTGATTTGCACTTCCTAGTAACTAATGATGTTGACCTTCTTTTATGTGCTTCTTGGCCATTTGTGTATCTTCTTTGGAGAAGAAAATTCAAATCCTTTGGCCATTTTTAATTGGGTCACTTGTCTTTTATTGTTGAGTTGTAGGAGTTCTTTATAAATTCTGGATACTAGAACCTTATCAGATACATGACTCGCAAATATTTTCTCCCATTCCATGGGTTGTCTTTTCACTTTCTTGATAGTGAATGCACACGTTTTTATGAAAACATACTTTATCTTTTCTTCGGTTGCTTTCACTTTAGATGCCATAACTAGGAAACCATTGCCTAATCCAAGGTCATGAAGATCTATTCTTAGGTTTTTGCTAAGAGTTGTATAGTTTTATCTCTTATATTTAGGTCTTTGATCATTTTGAGTTAATTTTTTGTATAAGTTGTGAGGTAGAGGTTCAATTTTGGATTATTTTGGCCATCCTGGGTCCCTTGAATTGCATATGCATTTTTGAAAGAGCTTGTCAATTTCTGCAAAAAAGATAGCTGGGATTTTGGTAAGGATTGTTTTGAATCTGTAGATCAATTTGGGGAGTATTGGCATCTTAACAATATTAAGTCTTTCAATCCATGAACATGGGATTCCTTACCACTTATTTAGATCTTCTTTTATTTCTGTCAACAATGTTTTGTAGTTTTCAGTTACAAGTCTTGCATGTTTTTTTGTTAACTTTTTCCCAAATGTATTATCCTTTTTGATGCTATTGTAAATGGAATTGTTTCTTAATGTCATTTTTGTGGCCTGGCATTTTGAAATCTGCATTTTTAGCAAGACCTCTAGATGATTCTTACACATGTTAACAGTTTGAGAAGTGCTGCTGTATTCAACAAACTCAACCCAAGTGACATTCCACACAACACTGCCCAATTCTGTCCCATATAGCTGCTGGCTCTCCAGTAAGTGACTTGAGACATCATAGTTACAGAAAATGGCAGAAGGACCAAAGATACTACCTTACTGAGTAAATTAAATGATTTTAAATAAGAGGAAGCAACTAGATAATATAACTAGGATTTTCTGTGTTAATTCCTATGCAATGGAAAACTATTATTAAATATCCATTTAATTTATGAGTAAACTACAATGTTGGCTTCTGTCTGAATTATGTGGATGTAAGCCATTTGAAATAATTGTCAGTTCTCCATTTCATTCTCAATGTATTTTTTGTTCTTTTTTTCAATAATAGCTACAATTAAACAGTTATATCTTATACTAAATATGTTTATTAGACCCTGTTTTGCTTTCTGGTTCCAGATATGACACTAATTACCTCCGTGACTTTGGAATAATCAGTTAATCTTTCTAACTTACAGTTTCCCCAACTGAATAAGGTAGGAATTGGACTAGATTTCTCTAGCATCTCACTCTTTTGGCTGTACATCAGATAATTCTAAATTTCTATCATGTCCAAATATACCATTTAATTTTATGGACTATATATTTCAGAGTCAGTCATAAATAATACAAAGTATGATTCAGAATGGAGTCTGTGAGGTCTAACATTTTTATACATAGATGCAGCTACAGGTCAAATTCAACACAACATTTATAATCATAACAGTATATTCTCTCTAGTGATATATTTTTAGCAAACAATTGTTGATAAAACAAATTAAACAAAATACAGTTTAAAGAACTTAGGAATCCCATGGAGTTGGTTAAAATGATATTTACATGTAAGTCTTCTTCAAATTAATCCTTTTCTGTATATTTAATACTCATTTTCTTTTTTTCCAAATTTCACATCAATCATTTTATAAAAAATCAATGTGCAAATTACCATATTTGTACAAAAGGCTGCTAACACGATGCTTTCCAAAGATGAAGTGAACATTTTGGTAAAAAGCCACCAAGCTAGGGACATTTAATACTTGCATTTCTTTACCGTTAATTCAGGTTAACTTTTTCCATCAGTCCAAGTTACTAACAATTTACGATGTAATAAACATTCTAAGATTTCTGCTAACAATTATTGCCTTGATAAATAAAATCTATTTTCAGAAAACTGTAAAGATGGTTTCTTTCTCTGGTATCATTCAATTAAACATAGAAAACATCGCATTGCATGTTTCTTCAACATGTCCATGAGACTGATGATATGCTCATGTGTCCTGACAATAAAGTCAGTTGTCTGAACATAAAAAATAATAAAAATACTTGTCTTCCTATGATAGCAATAGCCTAGGAGTACTTGGCAATTTGACTGATGCCTTGTGTCTTATTTCAGTTTCCCTTGAAACAAAGCACGAAACAGAGATTCTTGTTCAAGCGATTTATTGAGGGAATGCTCTCAGGGGAGACCTGTAAGAGACTGAGGAAAGCAGAAGAGCGCCAGGGAAGGGAGCTAAGCAGCCACAGGGATGTAACTGAAATCTAGCCTCAGCCTGATCACAGGAGGAGCTCTGGAGTGTGAATGGCACCAGCTGTTAACCCTGCACTGCTCATTTGATGCATGAGTGGTGGATTGCATCCTCCTGGGCATCTCCTGGGATGCGGGCCCCACCGGCTCAAGGCAGTGCTCAGAATGGGCAACTGCGAGCTATTAGCAGTAGCAGTCACAGCAGCTGGGGGGCATGCACTAGTCAGGTAAAGGGTCAGCATCTACCAGAGTCCAGTTCCACAAGTGATGGAGAAATATTTATCCAAATTCTGGTTATTAAATTAAACAATTGGGCTGCATGACTTTGATATATTTCCTCTAGCAGAATGACTATGAGAAGCAGGTTTTCTATTTCTCTGTGTCTCTAGCCAAAGTCATGCTTATTTTTTAGTTTTCCCTTCAGGAAGAGCAGAACTACTTTACAAAACTATATACATTCGGGACAATTTTTATGTTATGATTTTCATTTGAATGTGTCACAATATATTGACCAAAGATTCAATTTGGATTCAATATCCACCTCTATTATCCATATTCATTTTTCTAGTGGTCCAGGGCAGAACCTTGGAGTCATGCAACTTCTCTCACTCAGCCAATTGGTTCTTCTATCTGTAGATACTCAGAATCCACTGACTTTTCACCATCTCCTTGATTGCCATCTGTATAATGCAGTACAATAAATACAGTGCATACAATAAAGCCATAATTCTGTGTCACAACTACCCCTAAATTTGTGAGTTTATGAGTTGAGAAGTTCTGCCAGTCTCGCTCAGCTTAGTTAGGCAGCTCTTCTGGTCTTGACTGGGGCTCAATTACATGATGAGAAGCTGCCAGTTGGCTGATGTAAATTGGCCTCAGCTGGCAGGATTGGCTCTGTTCCACATGGTTTGTCATCTTCCAGGAGGCAAGCTAGGCTCAAGAGAAAAGAAGAAACGGGAAGGCCGTTAATTGAGCCCATCAAATGAAATCAATCTGCCGTACCGTCCTAGTCTAAGACATCAATTCTCATCTGGGTATTTGCATTTACCTAACTTCTCTCCCTACTTCTACTTTTGCTGCCTTCCAAATCTCTTCTCCACAGAGCAACCAGAGCAATCCTTTTAAATCCTAAGTAAAATCCTACCATTGCTCTGCTCAAATCCCTCCAATGATGTCCCCTGTCAGGTTAGAAGCCAAAGTCCTTATCTTATCACCTATATGAGGTGGCCGTCTCTCACCCCCACACACTGTGTTCCAGCCATAGCACACTCCTTCTGTTTTATTGACCTGCCAAGAAGATGAATCTTGGACTTACTATTACCTCTATTAGGAATATTCTTCCCTTAGAATCCACTGGGCCCACTTCCTCACTTCTCAAATGTCACTTCTTCAGCGAGGCCTTCTCTTGTCAACCTGTATATATCAGTACCCACTCAGCATTTGATGTGACCTTTACCATTGTTTACATTTCTTCATAGCACCTATCATTTCCTGACTTATTGTATGTTTTTCTGTTTGTTGGTTTGCATATATTGCTTGCCCCCTACTAGTATATGAGCTCCACAAGAATTGAGAATTTATTTCTTTTGTTCACTGCTGTATCTCCAGTGTCTAGAACAGTGCCTGGCATATAATAGGTACTTAATAATGATTTCTTAAATGAGTGAGTCAATGAATAAATATCCTTTTGCACAGAAGATTATGTTTAAAATTGTTCAATTATTCAAAACTCTCTGGAAAAAATGAATGAAGAGTGAATTGCTGTGATGCCAATGAAAGTTAAATGATAATGCACTGAAGACCGAGATCTAAATCTTGTTATCTGCCATCACCCTTATCTGCTGTCTTGGCTTTGTGTCATGGTCGGATCTCTTCTAAATGTGACTCAAACAAGGATGCAACTAACAGGAACTAGAACACAAATTCATATTGCCCCATTATATTACTCTATTGGATTCATCTTTCTGTACCACCAGATGCGTAAGGATAATTTCAAAAGGAATTCAAGAGAAAAAAAAATGGTCACGGTTTAACACAATATGAATGTATTATTTCTACCTTTTTCCTAAATGATCTTCCTAAAATGTTTGAAAGATACTTTAAAATCATTAAAATATTGAGAATAGCAACATAAAACACAGTAATAATTTCCTTTCCAAACTGTTTTATAAAAAGAAGTCTTCCTTCACTGTTTTGAACACGAGTTATTTTAAGAACTTAGCACAGAGAAACAAACAAAATTCTCAATGCAATAATCATTTTACTGCTTAGTCATATGAAATGAAAATAATGTCACGGATCTTACTGGCAAATCCAGACAGAGCAGTGGGAAATATGACCGAAAGCATGCAAAACGAATTGGACTGTGTCTCTACTACCTCTCATCTTGTGTAGTTAACAAACTCCCAGTCCATTTCATACCTAGATGCAGCCTATGACCCACCTATATGAACCTATGAATAGTCTAAAACGAAGTGAAAATAAAATCTTCCTGTAGTACAAGACAGAGCAGTCACTAAACTAAGATGAGGCAAGTGCTATGAAGTACGAAGAAATGGTACTTGAATTCTGTTTATTCAAGTCTTCACAGAGCTGAGCATGTTCTTTTACCAAATTCAATTACTGATTTGAATATGTAATATATTTTAATTATTGCAGCCATGAAAAGAAGCACTGGCTAAGGATGCATTTAATAAAAATATCTAATCAGCTTGAGGTTAGTCAATCATTTAAGTTTGTTTTTTCATGAAGATCTAATTTCTAGAACAATTGTGCCTTTATTTTCTGTAGGTACGTCCTCATACTCTGGTCTACATAGTGTGCAAATCGTTTTAGAATTGTACCAGTTTATTTCAATTGCTTTTCTAGAGAAGTGTTAAATAGGAGAGAAAGGTTTTAGCTCTTTCTGTAATTGAAATAAATGTACAATGAACAGTAACTTCCTGGTTTCACAGCTATGCTTTGTCTAGTTAACATAACAATGTAGGTTTACTCTGCTTATATATGGAATAGTACAAGAAGTTTGAGAAGGAATAATTATCAATTAATGTAGGCCATATATTAGTTTTACAGACCAGCTATAATTTTTGGATGGATATTCAGATGATATTTACATTACATAGAAGAGATAGACATCAAAAGATTTATTTAACAAATGTATCAAATGTTGATGAACATTGGTTGGGTATCAAATGATGCTATGCAGTTAGGATGTTTGTGGCTGTAAGAGACATCTCAAAATGGCTTAAAAATTGGAGGAATTATTATCTCATTTAGTATGAAGTCAGAGGTAGGGCAGGTTCAAATTAATTCAAGTTAATTAAAGTTCGCAAGTTCTTGGAATTCATTCTGCTAGCCCTAGCTGGTGGCTTTTATCCTGAGGCTTGTTCCCTGTGGTCAGATGGTTACAGTACTTCCTAATGATGAAGCTTGAACACAAGGTGTAAACCAGGTTGTCCCTCAAACCATTGATACGTAGTCACCCTTTTCATAACCAATTATACGATTCTTTGTAAAGGTCCCATTCTCACTTGGTGATGGGAAAATTATTTTCCTCTTCAATAATCTAGTCCAATCTAGGATTTTATGTCTAATTCTGTTATTATAATAGCTGTCACAAGTAATTAGTCAATGAAATCCAGGTACTATCAGTATTAGCACATTGTTCATCACTGGTGTGTGCTGGTGGGAAGGAGAACAGAGGAAAGGGAGAAAATAGAATCTGCTTGGATGAGTGATGGTGACTGATGGTTTCTTGGTGGAAAGAGTTGGCCCATGCTGTCTTATACTCCTGGAGTCATCAGCTTGTCCTGCCCAGGTGCTGGGCAGATAGGGAGTGTCTGATTTTTTAGTTATTACTGATGTGCTGGCTTCAAAATAGCTGGACCGCCAGCCTTATCTCAGCTGCAATTTCCTTTGGATCCCACAGATCATGCACACGCCCTTTATGGGGTGTGTCCCATTATTCCATTGTCACTATCAGGCTAGCTCACAGCCTCTGCCCCTCAGCTGATCTTAGAGATCTCCCATTTGGAAATGCAGAAACTTGTGGGATCATATTTGCTGCCCTCTGAGACCTTAGGGGAATGAAGAGAGGGTGGGTGATTCTGTTTACCCTGCAACCACATCATGTCCTGTTGGCTCAGATCCTGCATGAAATCTCCTGCCTTCAGTATCTCCAGATGAGACAGAGGTACCATCAATATGGTCCGGCATCCATGCAAACTTCAAAAAGTCTTATGTTCAGGCCTCTGCTCTGCCTGACCACTTGAATTTAGGAAGTGTTCAGGCACCAAACTATCTTGCCTAAACTCTGGCTCCTCCAGATTATTTCTCTCTCCCCCACCTCCTATTTGTACCTCCTGTGGCATGGTTGGGAGTGAGAGAGGAACAAATCAATCATTTTGTGACAGTCTCCATTTATCCTAGCCATGGGTCATCTAGGCTAAGGTATGATCTTGAAGAGAAAAAAGCCTGATGTATATCATAAGTGTGTATTATAAGTAACTTTACACACATATATTTTATTACTAACTTACCTTCTTGCAACAGAATGCCCTTCGTTGGCAGGTACCAGCCTTCCAGGTACTCTAAATCTGCATTTTAACAAGATTCCTAGGTAATTCCTATGCATTGTAAAGTTTTAGAAGCACTGCCTTACCAGTTTTTGGGCTTTCAGTGTCCACAGAAACTAGAGGCAACAATTAAACAAATGATAAAATAACATTTATTCTGAGCTGAAGACCAAAGTCTGCAGATTGAAATATCTTCCTGAATTCCAGGCAGAATTGATAAGAAAAGATACCAACCTAAATATATCCTGGTTATATTCCAAAATTTAGAGAAGGAAGGGGAAAATACCACAAACTTTAAGGAAAAAAATAATTCACATACAAAGTAAAAAGGAAAAGCTATCTAGTGACAGACATCATCTGCTAGATGACAGTAGAATAACTATCTACTAGAAGAAAATAGGAGAAGCTGGAAGGTAGTGGAATAACATTTATAGAGTGCTGAGGGGAAAGGACCTACCCTAAAAATTCAACACACAATCAAGATACCATTCACTGGTCAGGGTGGAATAAAGATATGGGCAGCTATACAAAGATTCAGAGAATCCGGCATCCATGAAGCCCACTGTGGAAAATCCTGGAGACAAAACTCTAACTGCAAACAAATGACCCAGACAGAAGTGTCAAGATAGGGAAATGAAGAAAAAAGGGGGATGAGGAAAGAATCTTTCAACACAAGCTGTTGGATCAGATAATAAAAATAACAGCGAAGTTCTTTACGTGCTCTATCTTATTCATTCCAAATCACAACCCTGGGAAGTGAGTGTATTAGTTATCTTTTGCTATATAACAAATTACCCCCAAATTTAGTGGCTTAACACAACAAACAGTCATTACTTCACACATTTTGTGGGTCAAGAATCTGGGAACACTGGTGCTGGCTTAGGGTCTCTCCGAGGGATGAAGTCCAGATGTCAGCCAGGTCTGCAGGCACCTGAAGGTTTCACTACAGCTGAAGGATCCGCTTCCTAGAGGACTCACTCACAGGACTGTTGGCTGGAGGCCTCAGTTCCTCCTCCCATGGGCCTCTCCAAGGGGTTGCCTGAGTGTCCTTATGACATAGCAGCTGGAACCCTCAGAGTGAACATTCTGAGAGAGATTCATAACCCACAATATCTTTTATGATCTCATCTCAGATGTGACACACCGTAACCTTCACTTTATTCTAGTCATTAGAAGCAAGAGACTAAATCCAGCATACAAGCAAGGGGAGGGGAATTAGGCTCCACTTTTTTGAGGGAAGGAGCAAAGAACGTGTGGACATTTTAAACTACCACAGTGTTGTTATTCTTTACATTGAAGCACAAAAAAGTTATTTAACTTGCCCGAGTTTCTATGGTTAGCTGGCAGGGGAGCTGAGACACAAGACCACGTAGTCTGACTCAAGTGCCCAAGCTCATCACTACAAGTGAAACTGCCTTTCAATGAAAAAGGGAATGTGTCATAGGCATTGACATGGAAGACTCATACTGCCAGTGATGGTATAATAATTGTCTGGAATTAGAAGTTCTAAATCATCTTGGTGAAACTCAAGAGTTGGAACCAACTCTTTGGAGAGATGTAAAATCATCCCCAAGATCTTAGAGTGGAGGAGTAAAGTGGGGAAATGAAGGTGTTCTTTTCAGATTGGGGAAAGCATTGGGAGAACAGAGCTTCTGGAGATAAGTGGGGAAAAGCTCTCTTATTCTTATAAAATGAAAAAATAGATTATTAGTGCCTGAAAGTGGAGGGTGATTACTAATGGAAAAGTTCATCAGGTTTCCCAAGTTAATAAGGAGGAATTCGAGCAAACCAGAAAAATAAGGAAAAAAGAGGTCATGGCAGAGTAAACTAAATAATCACCAATAAATAAGATTAAAGACTATAATTAAGTATATCACTTGTTACACTAAATGTTGATAGATTAGATTATCTCATCAACAGATTGGATTAAATAGTAGAAAAGTCTAGCTATTTAGCATTTACAAGAAACATACTTGTAAACAAATTGATAATCAAAGTTTAAAAATAAGAGATTGGCGGCAAGGCAAACAAAAAGAAATTAATATTAGACCAGGATGAATTAAAAGTTATGGCTGCTACCTAAGAAAAGGAGAGACATTATGTAACAATAAAAAGCAAAAGCCAGGAATCAGATGTCGTAAATCTATATGCACAAACAGTATGGCACTAAAAATTACTAGAGATATAAGAAGAACTTGATAAAAAGTATACTTACTGTGAGAGATTTAATATATTCTAAGAATTAGACTGATACAGTAAATTTAAAAATAGCCAAGTATACAGGAAATCTGAATAATATGACAGTAGCCTACAAATACTGAAAACATCCTCAGGAGCAAGAGAACTTTTGAGGTGTTTATTTCAGATTCACAAAAATTTTCCCATGTGATCTTAGAAGGCTTTACTGTAAGCCAGAGAAAAGTACAGATCCTCATGTAAATCGATTTATCTGCAAACTGCTCATGTTCTAAAGGAGTGGTTGCTCAACATTCATCCATTCGAGAGGTGTTTTGTAATTGCTACAATATAAAAGAATCGATACGAAAGTCCTTAATGGAAGTAGTAAGCAGTGCTCTATGTTGTCAACTATTTATTTCCCATTTCAAAGCCATTTGACACATTTTCATTTTCCTTGTGGAAAGAAACAAGTAAATATCTGTTATCAATCCATCATTTACTTGTACAATACATAATTTTCAAAATAAATATGCAGTGCAAAATAGCAAATAGCCTTCCTCAAAACACAGAGGCAGCCTAAAAGATTTACGTACTTTTAGAGGGAAAAAATACTAACTCATGGGCATTATAAGAGATGAATTTTGTAAGTATTTGTGAAGATAACAAGAACAACAAATGCTATTAACTTTGCCTCAGTCTTACAAAATGATCCATAATGATTCAACAAGTTTTATTTCCAATTAAATATACCATCACTCACTGGAATGCCATACCAGTTACTAATTCATATTTCCCTTATTTTCACACTTAAATTAATTAATATCGTTATTGCTATGAAACAACTACTCTATGGGCTGCCTTTCAGCTAGTAAATAAGAATTTAAGGGCTCTGGTAGCTAAAGTTTATTACTGGATTTTAATGCCAATTTTTATAAAGAGGTGTGAAGCTATTCAATAGAACCACTTTTATTTACCAAGCATTTTGCAGAAAGCCTGAGACTGTAAGAAGTTGTAAATGTACAACCTTTTTGCATAGCTGTAACTTAAAGATAAAATTTTACTTAATACCAGATAAAGATGGAAGCACAAGTTAGATTAACGGTGGAGAACGTATCCCAACCATCAGTCTGGCTCCGAGTTCGTGTTGGTAAGAACTACATAAACTTTTCTGTCGCTTTTCAATTAACTTTATTTTAAGCAATAGAACTGTTGATGCTCTTTTCTCCTGTTTTTTCATTGTGTTGCCCAAGTTCTGACAGCTGTACTGCCAAATGGCTTAGGGCAAAATAAAATAAAGTTCAAGTTAAGAACTCTGCAGTGTTTTTAAGATCTCTGGCGAAAGAGGGGAAAGGTTGTGTCTATTTACTAATCTGTGGGATTTCTAAAATTTTACCCATGTTATGCCTGCCCCCTCATTAACAGGAAGCTAGTATTTAAGTAGCTTGGCATAACTTGCCTCCCCGGGCTACAAAAAGTTTGAAATCAAATATGATCATCATTGTGAAGTTACTTTTCAGCAGCAGCTACCTGCTCATAAAATCAAAGAGTTTTTATAAAACTAGAGAGTAGCCTATCAGGGAAAAAATTTCCCTAAAATCAAGTTGGGAGAGTGAGTCAGACTGCTTTGCTTATTTCCAGGGTCTCATTCAACTACAAAGGTTTACCCAACTTCTATTCAAAATATTTGCATTAACAGTTCTGACAAATCCAAGCACAGTTTACACATTACTAATCTATTCCCTTCAGTCTTCTAGATGCTTCTTCCAAAATTTACCAAATCCTCAAATAACTTTAGGCACTTTTTCCACAGTTAAATAGTGCTGCCATTGACATCAACTTTGTCTCCAAAATGAGGAAGACTATCATTGCAAAACTCCGTCACTGACCTGTGATACAGACTCAGAACCCTTCATCTACAGAAGCCTTCCCCAAGAACCAGTCACGCTTGTCCACCACAGCCAAGATGAGATTATTTGTTACGCCTACTTCTTTTATGGCTTGTAAAGGCAGTTTCTATTATTCCTATTTTACAAACTCAGACCCAAGGAACCTGAGTGACTTGCTCATCATCGCCAAACCCCACTAGGTCAATAAATCAAACTCAAAGGTGAGGCTTTGCCCACACCAAGAAAGAGTAATTCAAGAAACGGTGCCCAGATTCAGTTAAAATAATCTAAGAGGGTTATGTGGGAAGAACTTGAGGGTGAATAAAGTTATACTCGAGTATCTCCAAGGAATCAAACTCTCAGACAAATAATCAATAATCAGAGCATGCAAAATAAAATCACGAAATACCAGTTTACACCACTAGACGGGCAAAAAGTTTAAAGTGTGACAAAACCAAGTTTTGGCTAGGACACATACTGCTGGTGGGAGTCTAAATTGCTACATATACACTTGGAAAACAAGACAATATTATCTTGATGTTATAAATAATCTATGACCGAGAAACTCCACTCCTAGGCATTTACTCTAGAGAAACTCCTGAACTTGTGCATCTAAAGACACGTACAAGCACGATCATAGCAGCATTGCTTATAATAGCAAATACTGGAGACATCCCAAATGTCCATCAATAGTAGAACTGATTTAAAAGGGGTGTGGAATGATAATACAATGGAATAGTATACAGCTGTTAAGATAAAGGAACAATAATTAAACATATCAACAAAGATACATTTCAAAAATAAGATACTGGAAGGAAAAAAATGATCAAAACAGTACATACTATTCTACTCGATTTTTATAAATTCTCAAAATATGCAATACTAAATACACATTTTTTTAAGGGAAGCATTTACATGAAGCAACACATTTCAACAGACAAGGGGTGATAAATACAAAATGCAGAATAGTCGTTACTTCTGGAGACAGGAGAGGGAGGATGTAGTATGGGGAAGAAATACACAGAGTCCAGCAGTGAAGCAGACTTCTTTTTCTTTAGCCATGGTATGTTTTGTTTCTTCCTACTTTCCATATTTATATAGCATATTCTTTTGTGTTCATGAAAAAGTCCTTAGTAATATTTTTAAACAGAGTCTCCGGGTAGAAAATAAAATAGATTGGGGTGGGGGAACTATTGCTTTTAATTAGACGCTATTGCATGCTATTTTTAAAAGCATGCATGTTTTACATGCACATAAACAAATAAAAGTTTTCAGAATTTGGCTCCAAAAGTGAGTGTGTTGGGGTTGGGGCTCATTTGTTGGCCCTGAAATAAAATGATCTTGATATATTTGCTCCCATTTGCGTATATTTTTGAGCGTATATGCATCCTAGAGTATGCAAAGAAAATTCTTGGGAAAGATTAACAAGAATCTACAGCAGTTGTCTCTGACAAGTAGATTCGCTTTTCATTTTATTGTATAATTTATTATATTTTTCATATAACTTTACTTTTAAAAGTATTTATTTATTTATACTATATGAGCTTTACGTTTCTAATTAAGTTTTGAATGAGGGCAGGAGGTGGGAGAAGAGGATGAAAGACGGGAGGATTCCCAGAGACCCCAGCATTGGGTGGGCGCTGGAGGTGCTGACGGGCGGCGGGCGGAGACGAGCCGGCCCCGCCCCGGGGCGGTTGCTCGGGCAGCCGGGCCCTGCGTGGCCGAAGCTCACAATCGGCCCTGTCTCGGCAGCTCCCCGCCGCCCCCTGCGCTCACCGGGCCGCGCTTGCCTTTGGCGACCCGGGGCCCATGGACACACCCCCCACTCCCTGCTGCCCCGCGCGCCGGCTCGCCTGCTCTGCCCAAAGGGACAGCGTTCGTGGCCAGGCGCCCAGGCCGGGTTCCCGGAGCCCGAGGTGCGGCTGGGGCCGGCGCCAGGCGGCGGAGACCTAGAGCCCGGCCCCTGGGCGCCCCCACAGGCCGACGCGCGTCGGTGCCG